GTTGCTGAACTTTCTTTTTTCGTTTCTGTTAATGCGACAATAGACCCAGACCCATCACGCCCCGACTCCCCCGACACAGGCCAACTTTGATCCGAACTCCTGGCCAAGCAGTCTCCTCCTCTAGTTTCTTGGGTTGAGGCAGGCACTCAACCATTGCTGGCAGCTCTTTGTCGTCTCTCTGCATTTGAATGTTATAATGGCATCATTCGGAAATTTGTTGAAATGCCTTTTAAAGTGCATTTCATGTTCGTATGCTGCCTGTTCCTGTCCCTGGCATTTGCGAGTCGTCAGTTGGCCTTGAACTGCGGCAAATTATTATTTTATGGTTGAATATTTTGTCAACCAACTAGTTCGCCATTTCCCTTTAAGACTTTTATCATTTTCGGGCATGTCACGGGTCGTATGCGTAATATATTATAGTGTCATAAACAAAAGCGTTCTGTTTTGTCAATAAACCAACAAATCAACAACCCAACAGCTATGACTCATACATTTTGCTGAGCTCAAACAGCATATACCTAATGTTCTCAGAAATGGGTAAGTAGCAGAGGGATATTAACTTGATAACATTTTTTTTAAGTTGCGAAAACTTTGTACGTTCAGTCTGACGTATTACCTGTGGCAATTTACTGAGCATAACAATAGCTTTATGGATCAATCCTGCGGCATCCTGAGGTCATCTAGGAGTGCGCAAGAGGAACCTGAAGAGGAATTACATGACTTCTGAATAAAATATTGACAAACTGATGAGTAGTAAATTTGTCTGTTATCATTTTTTGTATGCCTGCCTCACACTTATCTTAAGAAAAAATTAATGAATACACGTTTTTTGGCAATTCCATCCGCTGCTGCGGAAAATTGTTGAATTTACTTTTTCTTTGTATTTACCACATCGTCTTCAAACTCATTTTCAAAATTTTATGGGAAAATTCATTTGCAATCTTTGCAAAGTTCCTCTTGAATGGAAAATTTGGGTCAAGGGTTGTATGAATGAATGTTTATTTCTCTGCTTCAAGCTTCACATTAGTAATATAGGCCGAAAGCGTTGATTCTAACGTTTGATTCTTAATTCGATGGACTCTAAACACAATTTTAAATTTTTTTTTTAAATAAAACTTGAGGCGAGAAGCTTAGTGAAGTATGGAAAGATTTAAATTGTCTTGAGGCGTGGAACGTGTAAGGCCCGGGAGAATATCCGTAAAAAAAAAATATAAAAATATTCATATAATGTAACATACGGAGGAGGAGTTTATCGGTTTTTTTCGATATAACAACCGATAACATATTATCGATAAGTACCGCTCTTTGAAACAAGGTTTTTTAATCCAAATACGCAGATTATAAAAGTCAGCATCTACGTACGTTCTCGTACACAAAATATAGATTAAGAATATTTCCACATTCTTCAAAAAATTACAATAGTCAAATTTGTTTAAATATAGACCTGCTGTGGGCGTTCGATTTCGTGGGATTTACAAATTGGATTGGGTACATTAAGCGAACAAATTGTTAAAGACAAATTGCACGGTTGATTGCACAATAAATGGGCATATAATTATGCCAAAGTGCAGGGCGATTAAATTGCAACACATATGCGGGAGAGGCGGGGCTTTGCACGGTGGAGAGGAGCGGGGAGCAGCGAGGGTGTGCACCAAAAGTCAACAGGCCATAGTGGATTAATTAACAGAGACAGAAGGATGGCTTTAACCCTCCCCTCCGGCCTGCTTGCCGGTGCAATGTGCAAAGAAGGAGGGGAATGTGGCGCCCCGGAAAACAGTTGGATGCTCCTGGCAACTGTAGCTTGTAATTAGTCTAAACTGTAGGCATGGCAGGGCATTTCAATGGTGGGGCGTGGCAAGTTGGCCAGCTTTTGATACTTGAATAAGCAACACGATCATTACAAGGATAATAATTAAACTCCAGAGGGCAACAACATTCAAATATGCATACTCATGCAGCGGTAGAGGGGGTATCAGTTTGTTCACGCGCTTTTGTGTAAAATATACAGATATAAGCAAACACACAGACTGACAGGCAGACACACAGACAGACAGACAGACAGACAGACATACGGACAGACAAATGCATACATAGAGAAAATCAGTGTAAAACGTGGGCATTGTGTGCCAAGGCTATGCAATGGATTTGTGCTGTTTGCCTCTGGAGCTGAAGGAAAACAAGCAGAGAACGTGCCGGGGCCAGGCTCAGAGTGGCAGGACCCCACCTGCCGAAGCCCCAAACCCCCAACCCCCACACACGAGCACCAGGACAGGCCGTCGTCCAACCCCCAAAGAGTGCTGCGTGAAAATTAATGCGACATTTATTCATTATGGCATGAAGCAGCTGGCCAGAACAGGGCTGAGCCCCCAACCACCCATCAGCACACCGCACACCGTCCCCAAACCCCGTCCCCCGCTGTGGCCCTTCACTTGACAGCTGAGCAACAAAAGCGTTGGATGAGCAAAGCCCAGCGACGATAACCTCAATGCAGCGCCTGACTGATGGACGAGGCGCAGGGGCCTGTCGTTTGTGGGGAGGGATGGGCAGTCAAGGGTAGTGAGAGTATAAGGAGCGAAGGACAAGTGGGCCTCGTAACGTGTCGCCACAGAGCGCCACCGGGACATTAAAACCATGTGCGTGATTTTGTTCGCAGATTTTTTCCAACCTTTTCCGAGACTCTCCCCCGGGTCTATAGAAGCAGCATGTGTCTTTGGTTAATTTAATTCCAGTCAAAGGAATTTAATTAGTCACTACGCATCCGAAATTCATAATTCTATGAATGGCAACAGGATGTTGTGTTTTTCTCGTTAAATATACAGGGTATACACTGGTAGCAATTACATTGATTTTGCCAACAACATTCCAAATGCGATTACATCGATAAAATATTCAAAAGGCAGCTGCAAATAACTTAAGTCAAATAACAAGTGAAATCAAAGATTTACATTTTCAGCAAATTTATTTGGCTTTCCTATGTTGAATTTTCGCACCCCCGCCACCCACAGCCTGTGGCCTCCAGCTGGTTAACTCCCGACACTCCCGATTCCGTAAAGATATCCATTGGTGTTTTTCTCTCCAAAGCGAATATTCGATTGTCCTTAAATTGTATTTGGTAACATCATTTTATCATTTTATTGTGAACTTAAACAAATTATCCGGCGTTGCCCGGGTCAAATTTATAATGTTAAACATGCTAGTCCCAAAAATTGTCGCCAAGCGTTGGCGCTTTAAGCGTACTAGTTGATTGCTTTTTTTCCAGAAATATTGATGAGTATGGCCAAGTTGACATAAAGTTAAAATCAATTAATCAATTTTAACCAGAAGTTGAACCAGCTCCCTGTCTCAAGATTCGGTTCGAGAACCTGGTGTTCCACATCCATGAACCAAGGTTTTACTTTAAATCTATCTTATATATGCAATATTTTAATTTACTTTATAACTGCCCGTTCTGTTGAAAGTATTGAGTCGTACATATTTTCATTTAGAAGCTGTGCGCGAAATTTGATCTCTATCTGTTGTGTCTCTCTCAAAAGCTGTTCATTTTGAACAAAACCATTTCAGAAAATAAACTTATGCTTCGGTTCCGGTGTTTTGCGTTAATGTTCCCCTTATTATAACAAAATATAAATTGGCTTACAGCCTTGCTGTTTAGTATAATTTACTTCAAGGTAACAGCCAAGAGCTTTGCCATCATATCATTATAACAAATACAGTTTCGGAAATAATGCGCCTACTATTCAGATAACGATAAGCCCAAAACAAAAAATTGAAATTTTGTTTCAGTTTGCGGAACTCGGTAAATCTTTACATAGCTTTTATTTTCGGAGATTTTTAATATAAAGATATGTCTGTTGTCTGGTGCTTACTTGTATATGGTTTGTTATGTTTCTATGCTGATCATGGCCAAGCATTTTACTCGCAATTTAAGATGGCTTTTATCGTTTCGCACACACACATACACACACTAACACACACTCATAGACACACAACATATTTTTATTCCATTTTATTTTTGAACCTTGTATGCAGCGAGACTCCAAGTTGTGTGTTTGTGTGAGCTCCCCAAATGGCAATTCAGTCAATGACAGCGCATAAAAGAAATACATATATATGTATGTAAGCCCACACACTCACAAACACTCACAAACACACACACACACTCAAGGGATAGCTTCTTGCTAAATTCTTATCCATTCAACTATGAGTAAACCCTCTTTTTTCAGGTCATGCATGCATATTCTACACACACTTATGCACACACATGTATCACCACTAGAGACGCATATCTATATATCTCTTTCTATGTATATATATATATATATATATATATATTACATGCATATGCATTCATATTTCAATGGGCACAGAGACTACTTTCAAAAGTGGAAGTCAATTCAAGCAGCTTACTTTTATTTAAATAAAACGCTAGAAGAGACTCATACAACATTTTTTGTGCAATTGAAAAAGTGCTTGAAAATGCCTACGCTGACCTTTACATTTATTTTGCGGTAGATATTATCTGGACATAGGGTAGCTCCTAGTCGAGCACTTGCTAGCATTCTTGTCCACAGTAATTCACTTGACTAAATTGATTGTTATTCGAATGATAAAAACAGAAAGCCCAAGACCTGGCTGCAAACCGGTTTTAAGATCAACCAGTTCGAACCTCAAGTGTCTATTTTTTATTTACCATGTACCAAAAAGAAGTCGAACCTATACCTAAACATAAACTCTTTTTTTCTTGAAGATCTTATCAACAACTTAGCGGTTGCGTTTTGCTGGTAGACATGCTCAATGACATGTCCTCGATCAACTGCTATACTTGTAAAGCCTTGTAAATGCCTAAAAAAACGATGTTGACGAAAAGAGGCCATCGCGCATGATATGGCTACAGGGTATCTTCGATTTCAGCAACCGTTTCCTGTGACTGCATTGTGCGAATACAAGTCTTGCAAATGGTTTAACCCATAGCTTACTTCTTGTGGCGTTTTTCTTTACAGATTTCAATTTGCAAGCTGAGGCCACCATACCCGAGGACATATTTGACCAGCACGATGGCGACATTGTAGACGATGCGGCCTCCCAGCTGCAATATGCCGAGCCTGCGGATGACGAAGCTGACGATTCCGATGCGGCTGATATTGTGAGTATAGGCAGAGTATGTTAAGCACTGTGTGCATGTGTGTGTGCAGCTGCAGCATGGGTGCTGTAAGTCAGTAAGTGTTTCAAATGAGGTCAGTTCTATTGAAACAGCATACATGACGTTACAAAAAGAAAAATAGATAGACAGACTGACGGACGGACAGCATCAGAAAAGTGGAGAGGCAAAGGGGAACGCATTGAAATGTCGCACAATGTGCTAGCTGAGTCAAATTACTTTTCTGAATGATTGCTTTAAATATGCAGCATGCTTGGCCGAATCGTTGGCCCAACGGGGTCAACTTGAAATCATCATTGAAGCTGGTCAGCCAGACCAGCCATCTAAGCCTATGGCAATAAAAAGCACCCAAAATGCCACGCCGAAGTTTAAGTACCCTTGTTTTGCAGACCTTAAAATGGTTTGGTAATGATACCTTATAGAATTATACTATAGTGATAACGTAGTCTGACATCGATAAGATTTTGATCCGCATTGAATGTTTCATAAAAGAACATAAGTTGTCCTTCCAAACGATTTCGACACGCAAAGCTTCGTGACGATAGCCTTAAAACTGAGAGACTCGTTTGCATAGAATACCCACTCAGCTGGCTATATAGAATTTATATATACTTCTATGCATAAAACATTTTATCACAAAGTTTTAATACCCGTAACTAGGGTATAAAACAAAGTTGTGTACATTTCATGCAGCCAGCCACATCCGCCATGGAGTCCATTAGATTAAGCTTTTCATGCAAAGCGTATTTATTTTCAATGCTGTCTGGAGGAAAAGGAAAAAAGAGTTGCCATCAGTCAAGAGCTTAAAGTTTGCAACTTTATTATCATTATAAATATTATAATTATTATAATTATTGTTAATGTTTTATTAATTACTTTTATAATTATTATTATTTTATTATTACTTTAAATTTATTCTTATAATTTTTTTTATTATAAGTTGCACTTTTTAAATAGCATTCACTACCATGACCTCAAACTGGGCTGGGAATTCGAACCTCGATTTGCATTGTTTAGTTGCCCGAATGATTGGCTCACTTAGACAGCTCATCTACCGAGTACTGCGTGTATATTATATATTTCCCATATAAATCTCCTAAAATAATATATATATAGACTGTGGCCAAGAAGTTGTCATCCGAAAACAAACTTCATTGTCTGGCAACTAGATTCAGTTGCAAAGTTTCACCGAATTTGCCAAAGCACTTGGGCTTAATCGTTTGGACAAATGCAATCTCATAGATGCTCGCATGGCTGCCACATTCGCATCTAATCAGCGGCTTGCACTCGGTTTCAGCTGACAGACAGTTCTGGCGGCAACTTTGAAGACGTCTCCAGGCTATACGAAACTTGCCTCTTATTGTCGCACATGTGTCTGGGCTGGGTAACTGAGTAACTAACTCGGTGTGTTCCTTCCTTTTAGTCGTTGCCACTTTGGCTTTATTGTTTTTTTTTTGCTGCAGCAACAGACACGCCCCTTAGCCTATATACATATATACATATATATATCTAGATAAATATATGTATATGAATAGTACATAGGTATGCAGCATGGTGCATTTGGGAATGGGCATGGGATTGGGAATGGCTTTTATTGTCTTTACGTTCTCGCATTGTTCGCTTGTATTCTTGCAGATACTTGAATCTCAAAGGCCCACTTCAAGGAATTTCACTGTTTACCTTGCCAAAGATGGCAAGACAGTCAAGAAGAAATACCATAACAACAACAACAACAATAACAACAACGACAACAATAACAGCAACAACAACAATAAAAACCACTACAACTACAAATTGAAAAACAATAAAGAGAGCATGCTGCCGAAGAGAGTTGCCAATGAAGAAAAAGCAGATGAAGAGACAGCGTCAGCTACAAAATCCACTTCCGGTGACGACAACGACAGCGCCAAAGACAACAACAACAACAACAACAGCAACAACAACGATAAGGCCAACAACGACAAGGACGGCAACGAGGACGAGGAATACAACGAGCAGGAGGCCGAGGACACGGCTGAGGACAATGTGGAGGATGAGAAGCCAAACGCGAACTTTGGCAGCAAAAGTTTTGCGTATAAAAAATTTAAGAACATGCACGAACAGCAAAATCAACAGAGCCAAAAGGAGCAACAGCAGCAACAGCAGCAGGAGCAGCAGCAGCAGCAGGCAAATGGCAACGGACCAGGCCAGCAGATGGAGAGTGTTGCAGGGCAAGATGATGCGGAACGGCAATGGCAGCGACAGCGAGAGCCACAGAAGGCTGGTGTGGAGCAGCTGTTTGATTCCATTGAAATATTAAATGAACGAAAATTTAATAAAGCGCCGGGCCAATCAACGTTGCAAGCAGCTGAGGATGTGGCTGGCGAGGACATTATGGCAATCGGCGATATTGAGGACAATTTTGGTAATGATCAAGTATTGGCGGAAAACATTATGTCCACAATTGACAATGATGAATCAGCAGCAAGGGAGACTACGTCTCCGGCCACCAGCACCAGCACCAGCGCCACAACGACAACGACAACAACAAACCAGCCAACTACCGTAGCTGCTGATCCAACAACAACAACAACAGCAGCAGGCACATCAAACAGCTCAAGTAAGCGGAATGTGTCGCCGCCCATTGGACGCAAGCAGAAGCGACATGGCAGCGGCGCCAATACTAATGCCTGGCTTGGAGGTAGATACTATGACAAGAACAACTACGACGTAGGCCCAATTTGGACGCACCATCACGAGAACCCCAACACTGATTTTCAAATGGAGTCCAGCGACGTGGGAGAGCTGCACTACTTCGATGCTGGAGAGAATCCGAGAAGCAGCGAAGACATTGCCAACGAATCACAAGCCAATTACTTGAGCAGCTACTTGGGCCAGACAATAAATGAAACCAAGCAGCAACAGCAACAACAACAACAAAAACAAAAACAACAGCAGCAGCAGCAGGACTCTCGTTTCCAGGACGATGAGTACGGAGAGCAGCGGGCGCCACAACTGGAATCGGAATCTGCATTGCGTTATCATCCGGGTAAGTCATTTGGGTATTTTGTGAGTGCCAAAGCTTGTACAAAGTCAGACCAAAACAAGTAAGAGCGCTCAAGTTGGGAGTGGCCGACTAGCAAATACCCTGCAATCCAACTTTCGGTCTACACACACAAGCCCGAAGTAACTTCGGTGATTATAGTCCGATCTTTATTATATTATCCCTGTTTGCAAATGACATTCCAATGTGGGTACATACGTAAGCACAAAGCTATACTTTTAGAAGTTTCTCTCTCTTCCATTTGGTGTCGATATATACTTAAAAGCCTTCTAACAAATCAAGCTCCTCGAGCTATTCAGATGGGCTTCAGCTCGTCGTCCTGAACAATAATATGTATAAGATGCTTCCTGCTGCCTGTTGCATACATTGAGACAGCCGCAATATACCCAATTTCACTAGTTATCAATGGGTACAGGGTATTAAAACAGATGCCAGCAAAATAGATATACAGCTAAAGATATACAGTAAGCCCCGGGCTGAACGCAGGGACTGCAATCGGGACACGGTTCGGCATAGTCAGTGTAGACGGCGAGGGAAAAAGAGTGAGGGGCAGTCGGAATGGTATTAGACAATGCAAGCTAAACACAAACACATTCAGAGCGAGCATGAGGAATGCCAAGCAGCCGCACAGTGGGTTATAACAATAAGCAATTAGTAAACGGAAAATACTATTGAAATTTCTTGAAAATAAATTAAAGAATTCCAACAAATTTAATTCGTATTCTTCTATTGTTCCAATTAAACAATCTAAAGCGCCTCGGTTTTAGATTAAGACCAAAATTGAATATCGAATATTTATGACCGCGATTTGAATGCTTAATTGCTTGAAAATTCATATTAAATAACTCTGGTTAAACTTTAATATTTCGGTAAAAAATATTTGGCCAAATTTATAATTTGTTTTGTGTATAATCTATAATTGATTGGCATCAAATTCAAATTATTTCACAAATTGCTGTGGAATTATTGTCACTGTTTGGCTGAACGCTGCGGCTTGGCGTCCCGTACTCCCGTACTTTGATTTGGTTTCGGTTTATGGTCTCTACTATGCCCTGTACGCATAGAACATGCCTAAAAGAGGACATTATGATTTTGGGCAAATGTTTGTTACAGGCCGAAACATTACAGGCAACAAGCCATAAGGTGTCTATCGATCTAGTATGTCTGGGATTTGGAACGTACGTGCTTCTATTTCACGCACAGATTTAGTTTTTTCAAATCCATTTCCTGGTTTTGGGGCACATTTTGTTGCCAATAGAAGTAAAAGAAAACAAATTAAAGTACTTCATATTTTTAAACCTACCTTTATTCTCCCCAAAACGGAATATTCTTTTAGAGATATAGCCTTAGTATAAAAACACTTTAATATGCCATATTTAAGCCCTCTCATAAAGTTCAGGCTAGAAACACCGAAGTTATTCAAGAATGCATTTCCCATGGGAAGAAGGCAGCTCAGCATTCAGTTTAGCGTATTTGCTAGTCGGCCTCATCCGCGTGGGGCAGTCTTGTTGTTTTTGATTTGGTTAGCTGGACAGGACTGCAATGCACTAAGCTGCCACTGGTGCTGGGTCCTGCAAGGGACATTCACTGTGGACCGTAAATTGAAAATATGTTGAGCACACCCCAATTGAATGCAGACACCCCGGGGGCGGTGTACACCAAAATATGGGAAAATTCGGCCATATTTGAAAAACGAAAAACCACTTTAATATGGGTGCAAATGTGAATACTCCAATGTCGGCTCGCATGTGGCCTTAATTAGTTTATGGGCCTTGCACAACTTATGCAAATGCAAGAAATCAAACGGAATGAGCTTTGGCGTCCAACCGAACACCAAAGTCCCATGGGCAGGCATTTTATTACAACAGTTTTGTTTTCTGAGAAGCTTTTTCATTTTTGTTTTTTGTTTTTTATTTTTTTTTTGTCAGCCTGCCTGCAGCAATAAAGCCAACAAAAAGGCATATATTGTGTGGCTTGGTACTGTCCAAGTAGTACATGTCTCGAGGATTGCCCCTCCGCACATGCCCACACCCGAAACCTCAGCAAAAAAAAAACAAAAAAAACAAAATGAACTTCGCACTGCATTCATTGTAGTGGAGGAGTCGTCCCTGAAACGTGCCTAGACTGCCAGAGGTCCTTTGCTTGGCCACAACTTAAGCCAGTCTCAGGATATTCGTTATGTGTGTGTGTGTGTTTTTTTCGTCCGTGTGTGCTCTGTTCCTGAGGGCGGTTCAATCTGTCATGATGTATGGGAATATTGCGGAAAAGTTAATATTGGGCATAGTATTTACATATATCCAAAAAGTTGGTGCAATCAAAACTTATAAATAACTTACATCAATCAAATTTCCTAATACAAAATAATTTAAATATAATTGCCCGTTTAGCTGAAAATATTTTCATAAAGAAGTTGCGGGCTATATTTGATATCCACAAAAAATAGACATCTAACAAATATGGCTTAATAAATCCAATGATTGGGTTCCAAGTCTCGCTCAACATTTTTTAACTTGGCAAATACTTGATTCGGCCTTGATATATCCTAAACTATCTCCTGCAAGTATGTATAATGAAAACAAATAAATTGTTAGGCTTTTATTTGATTTCGATCAGTTTATATTTCACGTCGAATTTAAAATGTTCGGAAAGCTTTTAAGCGCACCTCGCTGACTTTGGGCTGGGTTGGGTTTCTGATAGCGAGGTTGCCGCACTTTTATGCACAATCAAATGAAATGAATTGTGGTCTTATGGGCAACGGATTTTGTGGTCTTAGATGAGGGTCACATAAGCAACAACAACAGCTACAACAGCAACAACAATACGGGCAATAGCAACAGCAGCAGCCATCCACAAATATGGCGATTTGTTGTCCCCGGGACTAATAGAAATCTATTACTTCCGAGCGAGCGCATCGTGCCGAGACTCACAATTTCTTCCTTTACTCATACCCATTGCGATTCTCAATTTCCATTGCAGATGCCACCACCACCGAGTCACCATCGGCCTTTGAACGCTTTAAGGCGCTGCGGCGCAGCAATCGCCGGAATGGTCACAAGAGCCACAAGAAGCGCTACAAGGACTACCTCAAGCACAATTTCAAGCTAACCCCCAGGTACGCGCTCAAGCTGCGCAAGGAGCGGGAGGAGCGCGAGCGAGTATGGCAACGGCAGCGGGAACAGGAAAAGCAGCAGGAGCAAGAGCGGCAGCGGGAGCAGGAACAGGAGCAGGAACAGGAACAGGAGCGTGCAGAGAGACACTCCCATGCAGCGCCGATCTTTGCCCTGGGCGTGCGACCACAACGCATGACGCCCAAACCCTTCTACGAGGGTCAAGTGAACTACTACGACCATCAGGAGGAAATACAGCCGCAGCCGCTGGACACTCATCATACGGAAATGGAGCGTCTAATCGCCAACGACAATGGCAACTGGTATCGACGCATCAGTCCAGTGCTGCGCAATGGCGTCAAGAGCAGTGAACAGCATCAGCAGCAACAGCAACAGCAGCAGCAGCAGGTGATGCAACCACAGCCGCAGCATCAGGTGAAGCACCATCATCATGTGAAGCACCATCATCATCACCAGCATCATCACAAGCATGCTCGCATGCAGCGTTTACCGAGTCCATATCAGCGCAAGGCAACGGCGGCTCAGTCAGCGGCACCGGCTACAACACCAGAGCCGCCGCTGCCGCCACCGAAGCCGCAATTGGGCCATCAGATCACCGAGCTGGAGCAGCTGGAGCGCTATTATGCCAAGTGGCCGCATCTGGCACGAGTACAGTTTCAGGTGTACGACGAACACTATCGCGAAGCTCATCCGGAACTCTATACCGATTACGATGCGGGCGATGACTATGAGACAGCTGCCGAACTGGAGGAGGCACAGCAGGATCATGGCGAGGAGGCCAATCTGCCGCCCTATATCAAAAAATACAATCGACGCAATAAACAGCTGCTCAATCTGCTCGAGGGTACATTGCCGCCGGCTACGCCCACGCCGTTCAGCGGCCTCTGGAGCGGCTCCCAGCTGCAGCCGGGTCCGCACGAATCGGCGCCCATACGACTGGACGATGATTACGTTAAGCAGAAGCGACGTCGCTATCAGCAGCGCTACGAAGATCTCTTTGCCCAGCAGCACAGCGGCAGCACCACGACGACGACAACAACGACGACGCCCGCAACGCTCACCAGCAGCCTGTCCAACCATCTGCCCGAAGAGGAGAAGCAATTGAATGATAATGAGCATCACCAGTCAGCTGCCGTTGAATTCTGGCAAATGGACACCAAAGCATTGCCACAGTCGCCGCCCGCCGCCGCCGCCGCCGACGTCACCACCGTGCATTCCACACCAAAGCCGGCACTCTTTAAGCTGCCCCTCTACCCGGCCATAACGGACAGCTTCTTGGGCACGCCGCGCAGCCGCAGCGCACAGTTTGTGGCCAATGTCACCGGACGCGGTCAGAGCAGCTGGCATGCTGCTCCCCCGGCCGCCGCCAGCTCTGTTGATGATGATGATAGCACTCCGATGCCGCCATCCTCGCCGCTCAACTCGTTTGTCTATCATCGTGTCGTGGATGGCATTGGCGCTGCCAACTCCCTCTCTTCATCGTCCGCAGCCAGCCGGAAGCAGCGTTTGCCCTTCGTGGCCATCACGGATCGACGGCTGGAGAACATCAGCGCCCATAAGTTGCTCGGAGAACGACACAAAGACTTTGAGCAGAATCACTTTCCAATGCCTTAAGCCGCTCTACAACGGGAAGATCGAGGGAACGCACGAGACGTTACAGTAGAAGTAGAAAAACAACCACAAACGGAAGCAGCAGCAACATACAAGAATGGAAAACCAGTTTAAACCAACGCGAAAAGAAAAAGGATTTCGACTCGAGTTTTTGTTTAAGCATGTCAATGCCATGAAAGCAGGAGTAATTAGAATATGGCTATACATATGACAAATCGGAAACTAACAAGTTTATGACTCTCAAGCAAATCTGATCAACGATCATTTTGGTAATCGGCGCAATTAATCGATCAACGCTACGCATACAGCTCGCCGTAAAAATATCTATCTTTTGCCTTGGTTTAAGCCGGTTTCCCATTGCTTATCTAAATCTAAATATAGACATAAATTTCAGTAGTTGCTTCTGAATTAAATCTTAAGTTTCGAGCGATGAGTACTGTACTTAGATCTAATTTTGATTCGCATCTGAGAGCAGGTGAAAAGCCTAAAAAAATGAAAATTAAAAAAATTTAAAATATATTCTATGTTTCCAGACTTTTTTGCGTGTCTTGAAAAAGATCTCTTGCATATTGAACCTAAACGAGGAAAAAGTTATAGGAAATTACAAAAATTGAAGAAAAAAACATGCAAAAAAAATTAAAATAAAAACAAAAATATTTAAAAAAAAAAAAACAATGAAAAGAAAACTAAATATAAGCTAAAATTTTTTTGGTGTATGATAGTAAATGACACAGACAACTAACCACATTAACGCGACCGTAGTTACACAAAACACCCACACACACACACAGACACACAGACACAGGCAGACAGACCGGAAGGAGCTGTTGAAATAAGATATATTTAAAGAGCCTGAATGTATGCTTCACTTTTTTTTTAAAGAACAACATTGAATATTGTAAACCTAGAAATGTCGATCAAATATATGTAATACGTGGAATGCAATTTATTATTTCCAGATTGTAGTTTGGCTTTTATTGCTTGACCAATGTTAGAAGCAAAGCTCTAGAAAGCTCGTAACGCTAATAGATGGCTTTTTTCTTTATTCCCGACCCCGAAAGTTTTGTTTCAAGAGCCCGACACTTTCAATGCACGCAACATCAAATAGGTTTCAAAATTAATTCAAAAGCAACAAGAAAAAATTGAATATGAATAAATATAATCACACAAAATGCAGTGAAATGCAGTATTGAATGTACATAGTAAATGTATTGTAGAATCTTTTCGGCTCAACCAAGATACTTATTCAATAAACGACTCAAACGTAAGTGGAAAAACATATTTAGTTGGCTTTAGCACAAACCAAGAACAGATACACATATGGAAATAAACAAAGAAAATATATATACATATATGCATAAATATATCGTTTGGCATGCTCTCTAAAAAACTGATTTAGAAAGAAAAACTTTTGGGTTCAGGTTTGTAATTTTCTTGAAAATATTACAACTGGCGACTGTCCAGTTTGTGAAGTTTGAGCACAGCTGTTGCTGATATGCTAAAAATTTGCGGAATATCCCCAATGCCTTGTGTTGCTGTATATTGAAAATGAATATAATTTATGTAACAGATTTAATGAGCATGCAAACGCAAAAAGATACAACATGAATTTACTAAAGCGTTATTATACATGTGCAAACCAGCAAAAACAACACATACAAACATACGCACACACACACACACACACACACACACACACACTTATAAAGAGCAAGAACGTTGCAAGTACACACATCTCATTATGTGGTAATATTTTAATGGAATGAAATTCAATAAAGCGAAATTTATTATTTACGCCTAATTATGTGCAGCGTATTATTTTCCTGTTCTCGTCCAAATCTGCCGCTCAACTCGGATTAAAGTAATAGCCAAGGCCAAGTATACCAGCTTCAGGCAGAAGTGCTCAACTAGGTGATACCCTATGCCTAATTTCATATTGCTGTTATAAGGGTGCTTTGGTGCTCACGGGAAGTGGCATAAAATATTGGTTATATTCGAAGATTCAAGATGATCAACGAAAATGATTTTACAAAATTTTGCGACTATTTGGTTTTTAAGCATTTTTTATATCTCATTTTATTTGTATTCTGTCAATCTGACAATAAACAAATTGTTTAGCAAGTTATGGTATAGGTAAAGGATTGTTTTAGCTCCAATGAGTTCAAACAATATATATTACATTAGTTTGTTAACCTAATTTATGTGTTGAATTTCCAGTACGTGTAATCTTTTTAATCGTCGTGTGTCCATACTACTGTCTAAAAGATCCAGAGCCAAGTTATTTTTATGGTTGTGTAATCGATTTATATACCTCACAGCACATCTACTTATTTCACTTCTGAAAAAGGGCATGTTTAGGTCTTTATGAATATCATAGTTGCTCATATACCAAGGAGCGCCTGTGCTAGTTCTTAGAGTCATAGACTGGTACCTTTGCAGGATTTCTATGTTGGAGTTGCTTGCTGCTCCTCATAGTTGCACTGGTTTAAAAATCGTCTTGTAAAGACGAACTTTCTTCTCAAGACTCAGTTGCGAGCGCGGTCCTAATAGCCAGTACATTTTTCTATTTTTCGCTTTGAGCTGTGATTGTTTTGATTTTATATGAAGCTTCCATGTGAGTCTTCGGTCCATATACACTCCCAAGTATTTTACAAAGTCATTAACTGGTATAGTGGAGCCATTTAATATTACTGGCGGGCAGTTCCTTGCCTTAATAAAAATATCACTTGGACCAATTTTTGGGCCAATCTTCGAGGAAAAAGCCAATTCTCAAATCCGTATTCTTCGATATTATGAAAGTGGAGGGAGGTATCGAAAAAAGTTACTAAATACATTCTATCTATGGTATAAGAGAATATATATATAGAATAAAAGGATTCTGCCGATGTAAGACAGACAGGCATGCCCTCAGCTCATCGTCGCGATCAAGAATTTATTTATTTACTTATTTATTAGTGGTCGACAAAACGAGTGTCTTCCTAATTATTCAATACATTATATTTACAATTATGAAATTTAGATGCTAAAAGCCTAGATAGAGAACACAAATTTCTAATAGCATCACCGACCGATGGAGGTGTTTTATTTGCCAGTCTGGCCAGCTGTGCCCCTTTTCACAGCTAATTTGGTCAGTGACGCTATTAGAGCCTACATCTAAGAAGAAGGGTGTAAGTAGGAAAAAGTTCTCTTAAGTAAAATTAAAAATAATCTTAATTTGCTATATTATTTAAGAATATATCATAAATAGGAGAAAAGAAAGTAAAAAGATTGTTAATAAAGTAAAGAACTGTATGCTAGATATACAGAGTGTTAAGTAGATAGGATGAAGACATAGTATTGGGAAAGTAATGGGAAATCACCGACCCGGTGGGGGAAAATTTACAGCCTGTCCGGCAAGCTATGCCCCTGCTCATAGCTGGGAATGGTCAGTGACTTCCCGAAGGTATCCTGAAAGCAACGATTTTATTAGGGGTAGAGAAAGTTCGATAGAGAAAACGTGATGCAAACTATTGTAATTTTTACATAGCACGCGAAGAGGATTGTGCATAGCGTAGTCTGTTGTGCACGTAGATAGGAATAAGGGGCGGTAATTTCTGGTTGGTCTAGCCGGAACAGAGAATTGAAGACGCCCTAGCAGAAAAGGAGAATCTATATCGCCAACAACTAACTTATGTAGAAAGACAACACCGAGAATTGTCCTACGGTTGGTTAACGACGGAAGGTTAAGAAGAAGCAGCCTGCTGGAATAGGATGGCAACCGAAGATTAGGGTCCCAATTTAAACCTCGTAAGGCAAAAAGCAGAAATTGCTTCTGAACAGATTCAATACGATCCTGGCTATTGTTATACTGCGGAGACCAGATGCAAGAGCAGTATTCAAGGATAGGGCGAACAAGAGAGATGTACAGAAGTTTCGTTATAAAAGGATCGTTAAACTCTTTAGACCATCGTTTAATGAATCCAAGTACACCTTTTGCCTCATTAACGATGGTATCTATGTGAAGATTGAAACAGAGTTTAGAATCAAAAAGAACGCCTAAATCCTTAACTGTTAGTATACGTTGCAATGGAGTATTGTCGATTGTATAACTGACCAGATAAGGTGTAGTACGATTAAATGTCATAAACATACACTTTGAACAATTCAGATGCAATTGATTGGCCGAGCACCTAAGTTGCATAGCGTTCAAATCGTCTTGAAGACGAGAATGATGTAGGGGATTGGTGTATGATAGAATAAGTTTCACGTCGTCCGCATACATGAGTACACGGGCATGGGATATAACAGAGGGAAGATCATTTATAAAAAGAGTAAAGAGTAAAGGTCCAAGATGACTACCTTGAGGAACACCAGAAGTAACGTGAACGAGGTAGTCAGCCTCAGCATTACTCTTTGGGTCCTACCTTTTAAATAAGAACTAATCCAAAGCAATAGAGATGGAGGGAAACCTATTCGGTCAAGTTTAAAAAGTAAAATGTCATGGTGCACGGAGTCAAACGCCTTACTGAAGTCAGTGTAAAATACATCAGTTTGCATTTTCGAAAGGAAAGCATCATTTACCAAGGAAGTAAACTCAAGCAGATTGGTCGTAGTAGACCGATTCTTTACGAATCCATGTTGAACAGGGGAAACAACTGATTTGCAGAAATGCTGCAAATTCGAAGTGATTATTTTTTCAAATAATTTAGGAATAGCGGACAGTTTTGCAATGCCCCTGTAATTTAGTATATCAGACTTTCCACCTATTTTGTGGAGAGGAATGATATAAGATTCTTTCCAAAGAGATGGAAAGGCAGAAGAATCGAGGGATAGATTAAAAAGCTTTAGCAATGGATAAACAAGGGAAGAACTACACTCCTTGAGTAGACAACTAGGGATATTGTCACGCCCAGGAGAGAAAGAAGATTTTAAAGAATTTAAAGCTAAAAGGAGAGAGGAATGGGAAATAATAGGGGGAAGTATAGAACTAGAGGAAGTAATAATATAAGGGTAAGAATTATTATTAGGACAGACTGAAGAGTAAGTTGATTGAAAAAAATTAGCAAAGAGGTTAGCAGAATCAGAGTCATTGCTAGCTTTATCCATCCCGAGAGAAAAAGAAGATGGCAAACTTGAAGATTTACGCTTCGAGTTTACAAAATTGTAAAACTGTCTTGGATTTAGGGAAAATTGCCTTTTGCAACGAGTTAGATAATTCTCATAGCATTGAGAATTCAGAAGAAAGAAGTTCGACTTGGCTATGGAATATTTAGCCAAGTCAGTACACGAACCAGACATTTTAAACTTTTTAAAATATTTTGATTTTATATTTTTTAGATTCGTTAATCTGGGAGTAAACCAAGGTGGCTTTGAAGAGGTAGTCGAAGGAATTGACTTGGGAATACACATATCTAAGAGGGAGTTTAGGGTGTTATAAAAAAAGTTAATAGCAGTATTCATGTCAACCGAGTCATATAAGAAAGACCAATCGGTTGCATAAATAAGCTGATTCAGCAAGGAATAGTTTCCTTTGCGAAAGCAACGGCGGGGCTTATTGGCTGATGAGCACGAAATGAGAGGATTACAATTGAACATTGCAACCTCTAAAGTAGGATGATATACATCCTCAGGAAGAGAAAAAGGAGGGGACCTAGATACATTAGCAATAAGGTAGTCGTTAACAAATACAAGATCAAGTGTTCTATTCAAATGATTAGAAATTGAATTGATTTGAAACAACGAAAGGTCAAGCATGCAATCTATAAAGTCATGCTGTGCTGAGGGCACTAAATAATTTTCGGCAGTGAAAAGTGACCAAGAGATGTTCGGCAAATTAAAATCACCCAACACAATTAATAGGTCATTATCACGCACGTGTGAAGAAACTTCTTTAATACAAGAAATATGTTTCATATAAACTTGAATATCAGAAGAAGGAGGAACATAAGAGCATGAAATATAAATATTCCGTGTAGGAAAAGACACCTTGACTGAAACAATCTCAGCGTCAGTAGGCGTACTAAAACAGAAGAATGTATGTTATAAACGAGGTCGGACTCATTGAGTTTTCATCCCACAAATAACTCAGCAGGAGCTTGAGTTGGCAAACAGAGCTTAGTGTATGGTAAATGGGCTCTTTGTACAACCTTTTTTCGGCTGCAATTGAAGGGAACTTGAATGCTAGGCTAACGGAAAATGTGCATTATCTAACTACTTCATATATAACATCCACAATGCCCACGTCAATAGATGTTGGTGGTGCAATCAGTTCCGCTGTGCAGTACATAGCGCAAAATAGACGACCAAGACCTCCCAGCGCGCTGTTCCTGGGTCTGTCCGCTGACAATGCCATTACCAATGCCAATGTCATTTGCATGATGTTCTTGCGGTTTTGTGGTCTTCGCATTGAATCACTTAAATGCTTATAAGTGTAACCGGCGCCGATGGCGACGTTCTTCCATCGCTGAAAATGACGCACAAACGGCAAACAAAGTGGCGCTTAACGCCCGGGCACAGCAAATTGATGTACTCTACGCTTCATATGGGTGTAACAATATCTTCTGGATTCCAAGACGCATTTACTGCACTATTCAATTACGCTCTCAACACACACACACACTCACACACATTGGCAGGGAGGGGCCGCGCTGAGTGAGGTGCGGCTGTTGCCAGAAGGGCGTGAAAATCTGTCACTGGATTTGCATAAAGTGCTGCAACGTTTCCACATGCAACGCTGCCATTTGCCAAATAATTTCAATTCAATTTACAACCAACTTAAAAGAATGCAACCAAAACCGAGTGACAAAAACTAACAGACAATTT